AGCACATTCACATGAAAATTACTCTGAATTAAAAACACTGATCATTTATTAAACAGGATGGAATCATTTAATGTTTAAATAACTTTCAGAAGTTTGGATTCTGAATATGAGCTTTAATGTTCTTAAAAAAACATTAACATATTTTAGTGTTTTGTTTGTTAAAGCTAAAATTGTGTTTTCATTACCTGTAGGAAGAGATAAAGACCAGAAAACATGTCTTTAAATAACACTCTAATGTTTTTTATGCAAATGTCTAATTTAAATTTCCATCTGCTTCCCAGTTATACCATAAGATATGCTTCTATTCAGCATAAAATTCAAAGAAAATACACAGTTTGAATATGAAAAAGGAGTGCGAATACAAATGTGATTATGGTGACATTTAACACATCATAACAACACTTTGACCTTAGAGTTATTTTCACTATTTTCAGATGGTTGAAAATGAGCTTTGCAGATGACATTACGCCGTTATCGGCGTTTACATGGAGGATTCCCTGATGCAACAGCTGAGAAAATGTGATGACTCCTCCGTAACTGGCAGATCTTATCCAACCAGAGATGTTTTATACTAATGCTGCCTGTTTGCATGAGTCAAACTCCCATCATAATAACTCATAATTATTAAAACGAAGACAAAATAGCATTTTGAGGCACAGCTTCCTGCTTTCATTTACAGGTGCTGGTCATAAAATTAGAATATCATGAAAAAGTAGATTGATTTCAGTAATTCCATTTAAAAAGTGAAACTTTTATATTATATTCATACATTACATACAAACTCATATATTTCAGATGTTTATTTTGTTTAATTTTGATGATTACAAATGACAACAAATGAAAATCTCAAATTCATCATATCAGAAAATTAGAATATTGTGAAAAGGTTCAAAATTGATGGCCCCTGGTGCCACACTCTAATCAGCTAATTAACTCAAACCACCTGCAAAAGCCTTTAAATGGTCTTTCAGTCTAGTTCTATAGGCTACACAATCATGGGGAAGACTGCTGACTTGACAGTTGTCCAAAAGACGACCATCGACACCTTGCACAAGGAGGGCAAGACACAAAAGGTCATCGCTAAAGAGGCTGGCTGTTCACAGAGCTCAGTGTCCAAGCACATTAATAGAGAGGCGAAGGGAAGGAAAAGATGTGGTCGAAAAAAGTGTACAAGCAAGAGAGATAACCGCACCCTGGAGAGGATTGTGAAACAAAACCCATTCAAAAATGTGGGGGAGATTCACAAAGAGTGGACTGCAGCTGGAGTGAGTGCTTCAAGAACCACCACACACAGACGTATGAAAGACATGGGTTTCTGCTGTCGCATTCCTTGTGTCAAGCCACTCTTGAACCACAGACAGCGTCAGAAGCGTCTTGCCTGAGCTAAAGAGAAACAGGACTGGACTGCTGGTGAGTGGTCCAAAGTCATGTTCTCTGATGAAAGTAAATTTTGCATTTCCTTTGGAAATCAAGGTCCCAGAGTCTGGAGGAAAAGAAGAGAGGCACTTCATCCACGTTGCTTGAAGTCCAGTGTAAAGTTTCCACAGTCAGTGATGGTTTGGGGTGCCATGTCATCTGCTGGTGTTGGTCCATTGTGTTTTCTGAGGTCCAGGGTCAACGCAGCCACATACCAGGAAGTTTTAGAGCACTTCATGCTTCCTGCAGCTGACCAACTTTTTGGAGATGCAGATTTCATTTTCCAACAGGACTTGGCACCTGCACACAGTGCCAAAGCTACCAGTACCTGGTTGAAGGACCATGGTATCCCTGTTCTTAATTGGCCAGCAAACTCTCCTGACCTTAACCCCATAGAAAATCTATGGGGTATTGTGAAGAAGAAGATGCAATACACCAGACCCAACAATTCAGAAGAGCTAAAAGCCACTATTAGAGCAACCTGGGCTATCATAACACCTGAGCAGTGCCACAGACTGATCGACTCCATGCCACGCCGCATTGCTGCAGTAATACAGGCCAAAGGAGGCCCAACTAAATACTGAGTGCTGTACATGCTCATACTTTTCATGTTCATACTTTTCAGTTGGCCAACATTTCTATAAATCCTTTGTTTTTATTGGTCTTCAGTAATATTCTAATTTTCTGATATGATGAATTTGAGATTTTCATTTGTTGTCATTTGTAATCATCAAAATAAAACAAAATAAACATCTGAAATATATGAGTTTGTATGTAATGTATGAATATAATATACAAGTTTCACTTTTTAAATGGAATTACTGAAATCAATCTACTTTTTCATGATATTCTAATTTTATGACCAGCACCTGTAAGTGAATATGAAAAGGGATTTTAATGCATGATAATAAATTAGTCTGTGTCTCTTCTGAAAAAATTTAAAAATCAATCCACTGGACTTTGTTTCCAAGTTTGAAAACATTTCTCTTCCCATCCAGGAAGATTTTTCAGTTCAAAATGTCAGAAATAGCACCTCTGTTGGGTTTAAATCCAGAGAAATGTGAGTTTAAGAGTTTAAGAGGACGAAATGATCAAACACAGACAGGGATTTGCAACGTCAGCCTTTGCACAAGGGAGAAGAACTGCTGGCTCACAACCAGCACCTTTTCTCACAGTTCCCTTCACAGCAGAGCCTTTTATTAACAGTTTACAACATAGTAGGGCGGGTCTTAAACAGAAGACCCTGTAATGATTATCTGGCAGGATGCAGGTCATAAGACAGTGTGACTCTGCCTCATGACCTACTGGCCGGAGGCAGGTCATAAAGGAAATGACCCTGAAATGACCATCTGGCTGGATGCAAGTCACACAACAGTGTGACTCTGCCTCATGACCTACTGGATGCAGGTCATAAAGGTTTATGACCCTCCTGATTGAATCACAGGACAGAAATGTAGCATCTTATTTCTTCAATGTTTCATTTGCACACACATTCATTTTATAATTGTAACCCTAACAACCTCCCTGTTCAGTCAAGCCAACTATTCCCTCTAACGACCCCCCTTTCAGAGACATAGGCAGGTATGGGGCATTGCAGGCTAACAAAGAAGCCAAACGACCCCCATTCCTAAGGGGGGGACCCGTTCATCCGTTTCTATTTGCATGTTTTCTAAACTAAAAACATGGGCTGCTGGATAAAACCTGGAACTAAACGCTATTTCTGACATTTTGAATTGAAAAAACTTCCTGGATGGAAGAGAAACGTCTGCAAACTTGGAAACAAAGTCCAGAGGATTGATTTTAACTTTTTTGGACCGACTCTGACCTGCATCACTGAAAATCTTCACCAGCATTCTGTGCCTCTTGTTTCCTCCATGTTTGGTGGAGATCAGGCATCTTTGTCTTTTCATTGGCATTAAAACATTTTTTTTAATGTTTTTTTTATCACACCACTTTGAGACAAGTGAATTCATGAATGAGAGAACTGTAGCGTAAATGCTCTCTTTTACTCATATCTGTTGAAATCATGGCCAATGGGAGGAAAATAAAAGCCAGAGAGCCTGATGGTGTTTAAATATTGAACAGATTGTGTCTCTGCTGTGGAGAGGTTGCCTTGTCCCCCTGTCATTTTCCCAACATTATCATTGTGTGCTTTTCCTGAATGCTGATATTTAACCCAGCATAGACGTTCACAACAGGTGCGCATCATTAAGTTGTTCAAACAGCGGGTGACCTTGCGATGTGAAGTCTGCGTCTCTGTGTCTAGAGGCATCACTGCAGCTTGTTTTGGTTCTTCAGAATATGGGTTTGGAAAGTGGTTCTGTGGTCTGGCTAGCAGGTGGCTGCTTCCATTTTATTTTTTAAAAGGTTCAACAGACAGGTTTTTTTTTTTTTTTTACTTGTCCTTTTGAATCAATAAAATCCTCTCAGGAGGTTTATAAGAAAAGATGGCGCTTTTTTAATCATTAGGAATTAGAGCAACATGCTGCAGAGAGAAATGAAAGAACATTAGGTACTTTGCTTAATGTGTTCTTATCAAAGACGGCTATTATATATGCATCATCTGAATATGAAATGATACTGAGAAAAACATGATGTTATTACCAGTGGCAGAGATATAAAGAAGAAAAACACACAAGCAAAATGGAGAAAATAATATCATCCCAGGCTCTGCACACTCATCCTCCTATCATCATATTAGCGGATATAAATCTACATTTGGATTCATGATAAAAAGTATTAACTGTTGGACTGAATGGTGCAGCGGCAGGAACAGCCTATTTTACTGCATTTCTTTTTCCATGTAAGGTAAGGCAATGTTTCCTCTCAGGATTAATGTTTGTCTTCAAAGTTCTTACAGAACTAACTGGCGTCTTCTATGGATTTCTCTAATTAACATTAATATTAATTATTAAGTCTTATGGAAAAAAAAGTTCCAGTTATACATTAAATAAAAAATTGCTGGCAAATTCTGCCTTTTATTGAGTGATTGGAAATGTGTATTTGAGCATAAAGCAATTAAAAAAAGGATGAATTTATATTTATGTACAGATGCATATGTATGTATAAAACAACAAAACAAAGATGAACAGAATATATGATAAAATAATTGACATCCACTGGGAGGGGAAAGAAGCAAATACTCCACTGTTACAAATATTGCACCCCTTTCTATATACATTAACCATAAATATCCAAATATTATATACACATCCTTATTTATATATCACAAAAAACAAGAAAATGATCGTTATAAATGTTATTGTGCTACCACCCCAACTTAGAAACACGGACTCAATTCTCCATTTTAAAATGCAACTCAAAACCCATCTGTTCAAGATTGCTTATTCTCTTTAAATATCAATTTCACTGTCACAGCCTCTGTATTTTTTAAATGTTTTTATTTTAATTTTTTCTGACACTGTTTTTATGCTTTTGTATGGTGACCTTGAGTGTCCAGAAAGGCGCCTTTTTAAATAAAATCTTTTATTATTAATTATTATTATAAATGTTATGCTCAGAGAGTAAGGACCCTGAATTCAGCCAGAACAGACAAGTGACATTTGAAGAATCCATAGTCAGAGATGAGATCCAAGGTCAGAGCCGGGTGGCTTACAGATCAGGCAGGGGTCAGTCAGGCTCGGGTTCCAAGAGGCAGAGCAGGTCAGGCAAACAGGCCGGCAGGAAGTCAGGAACGGAACGCTGGCATAAATCTCACCAATGGCTGGAAATAATCTGGCACTGATGTCTGGTCTGAAGGCTGGTTATATATTGATAGGTACAGGTGGCGTGTTAACTAGAACGGGGCAGATCTGAGCCGGTGTGTCTTCTGAGGAATCAGACCAGCATCAGTGATGAGATCACGATAATAAAATCAATTATTATCACATTATCATCAGTATAATCAAAATGTATATTTTCTTTCAGGAACCATCATCATTATATGTTTAATACTTTAACTCATTAATCAAAACTGGTTAATGAGTTAAAGATTGTTTTCCTTTAGCAGACTGGAGTTCTTCTGTTATGCAGAACCAGTTTTCAACCCTTTTAACCTTTAGTTGTTTTTGCTGCATTCAGAGTTTCTTCTTTTCATCTGCTTTGTGTTTTAGCAATCATTTATACTTTTACAGATTTAATTTTGGTGAGCTCATTGCTTTTTGTTTGCTGTGTATTTGTAGTGTGTTTGCATTTTTCAGCCCCCATAAATAAGCCTGTGAAATTGTATTTTAACCCTTTTTAAAACTATAAATGAATTTGTCTCAAATTGGCCCTTAAATATATCTTTAGACAGATTTTATTTGTCATTTTGTTTACACAAGTGTAAAACTAAAAGAAATTTTGTTTGGAAACAGCTCACTGGACAATTTCAGCTTTTTAAAAGTGCAGCCTTGAAAAATAGTAAAAATTACTGTAATTTTACTGTTCTAACTTCATACATATATATATATATATATATATATATGATAAAATATAAGAAATATAATAATAAAATACAATAGAATAACCTATTTTACCAAACATCCAGCAGTCTAATGGCGGTGGGGAAGAAGCTGCTGCAGAACCTGCTGGTCCTGCATTGAATGCTGTGAAGCCTCTTCCCAGAGGGCAGCAGGGAGAACAGTCCATGGTGGGGGGTGAGGGGTCATTGATGATGTCACGGGCTCGGGACACGCAGCGCTGGAATGAAATGTCTTTAATGCAGGGAGGGGGATATCTATTCACACTGTTTATACTGTTCGTCTCTGTTATCAGATCGCCACCTTCTGGTTGGCAGTCGCCATGACGGTAACCGGGGAGGTGGGACTTCAGCCATTACGACTCAACTGATCGCAGCGCTAACGGAGCAAACCAAACAGGGATGGGTGCCGGACCGAACCACTGTGTTCTGCTCCTGGGGAGGCACGGCCCTGGGGAACATTGGCTCCTACGAATGGGGAAAGGTCAGAGAAAAGAAGATTTGTTTGCTTTAATGCTAACCTTGGTGCTAAATGAAATCATGAAAAAGTCTGGGATCCCAAATGATGGTTAGATGGACAAAAAGTTAAGCTCTTGTTTTGTGGGCAGTAAAGTTTTTATGTGATCCTGAAATGCAGCCTTTCAGCTTCAATTTACGGCTGTTATGGTAAACATCTTTTGAATGACCCCATTAGGACATTTTTATTTGTTGTTTATTCAGGATAACAGCGTCGTCCTTCAAAGCAGCGCTGTGGCCTACGTGAGTCTGAACTCTCCAGTTCGAGGGACGGAGGCTCTTGGAGCCACAGCATCTCCGACTCTGCTGCAGCTCACTTCAGATATTCAGAGGGTAAAAAAATTCCTTCTGCTGAATTTTCTGCACAATGCTTCACAACGCACTCCACTATGGGCTTCCTGACAGAAACAGATCAAACATGCATAAATCTATTATTTATTGATATTGTCATACTTAAGGGCAGCATATGTGTCATGCTTCTGTGTTATATATTTGATTCATTTATATATATAGTTAGTTAACAACACATTTTATATCAAAGCAATTTGCAGAGATTCGATCAGATTGATTCAGTTTTCAATCCAAGGAAAACCAACTGATTGCATCGACTCAAGACACACTCCTTTCGGATGAGCTGGCGGTAGCAGTAGACAGAGCTTGCATTGTGTTTCTGACTCTACATCAGTCTCGCAAACCAAGCATGCATGCAGTGACAGTGGAGAGGAAAAACTCCCTTTTAACAGGAAGAAACCTCCAGCAGAACCAGGCTCAGTGTGAGCGGCCATCTGCCGAGGCCGACTGGGGTTCAAGGAGACAGAAGCAGACATAGAAAAAGAACATAGAAGTTCTGATCTAAAAATGTGCTGCTGCCATCAACACCTTTGTTTCTAGATGTTGGAGCTTGGCCTGTTTTCCAGTGTAGTCCTGTTTCTCTCACTGTGACCAACTGGATTTGCTCTCTTCATCCTCTGACATGGGAGCTGGCTCGGAGCTCGTCTGCCTGGCTGTGTGTTTCCTGGACGGGGCCGCCTGTGGAGCTGGTTGACAGTTGCCTTTTGTATCTATGCTTCTTTTTCTATGTCTGCTTCTGTCTCCTTGAACCCCAGTGGGCCTCAGCAGATGGCCGCTCACACTGAGCCTGGTTCTGCTGGAGCATGAGATCGGTGCGGCATCAGCAGTGATATGGTCACTGTGTCTGACTGTCATGGTGATGATGGAGCTGAGTCGAGGGAAAAGCTCTAAATTTGCTGATTGATCTACGTTTCCGCCCTCACTTATGGTTCATGAGATCTGGGTAATGACCGAAAGGACAAGATCGCAAATACAAGCGGCCAAAATTAGTTATTTTTGCAGGGTGGCTTGGAGCACCCTTTCAGATCGGGTGAGGAGCTACCTGGGAGGAGCTCGGAGTAGAGTGGCTGGTCCTCCACGTCGAAAGGAGCCAGATGAGGAGGCTCAGGAATCTGTTCTGGATGCCTCCTGGTCGCCTCCCTCAGGACGTGATCCAGGAATGTCATTCCCAATGGGCCTGATGGCCTGGTGTCGCCTCGGGGAGCAGCTGGAGGAGGCGTGTGGATCAGGGAGTCTGAGCATCTCTGCTTAGACTGCTGCCTACATGACCCGGATAAAGAGGATGGATGGATGGATGGATGGATGGATGGATGGATGGATGGATGGATGGATGGATGGATGGATGGATGGATGGATGGATGGATGGATGGATGGATGGATGGATGGATGGATGGATGGATGGATGGATGGATGGCATTAAACAGTGTGAATGTAAACAGAAATCTTCATTTTGTATACATTTATAAATATTGTCATTGTGAAATCTTATCAGATTTCTTTCAACCTTCCCATTCTGTCACACAAGGAAGATATCTACTTAAAGTCTTTCCTAAAAATGTGATTTTTAGCCTGATTATGCCAAATAATTCTTCTAAAATCTTCAATTGCAAAGTAATCAAAGTTATTTTTTCTCCAGTTTCTATATTTGAGAAAACAGAATAAAGTAATCTATCTATGACAGAACCACCTCACAGGTCACAAGCTTTTAGACTCCAAACTACAGTAAAACACCTAATGGCTTCCTGTCAGCTGGCAACTAGTTCTACACACCAGGAAACTTGGTGATGTCATTCCTCTGACAGGACGTTGCACAGAAGGGGGGCTGCAGTTGGTGAATATAAAAAATGTCTTTACTCTAAAAAAAAACGTATTTCACACAAAGATCTATTCCAATACCGTATCATTTCTTTTTTTTCAGCTTTTTTATTATCATTCTACTGTCATAAGTACAGAACAACGAAATGATCTCTGCATTTAACCAATCCTCGGGGAGCAGCCATTGTGTGGCGCCTGGGAAGCCGTGTGGGGTTAAGGGCAGGGACCCAGAGTGACTTGAATTCAGAACCTCTAGATTCCAAGCTCTATGCCCTAACCACTAGGCCACCAGTCCCCTAATATGGGAAGTTAACTAGAAATAAATGTTATAATTTAGTCCTTAAAGCTGCAGTCTGTAACATTGAGAAGAGAGCAGACTTCAACTGAAAATTTGAAGAAAAACAGGTTTCACGTCACTCCCCCACCCTCTCTGCTTCACTCATGCCCCACCTCCAAGCCCCATCCCTCTCACAGCATCTGTGCGGCTACCGCATGCGACCAGAAGCGTCCAAGCAGCGTACGCGGCATGGAGTGTGAACCGGTAAGAGCGATAACACTCACCTCCAAGCAGCTAAATATAAGATGCTGGTTATACCGAAGTTTGCCGTGTAAGCAGTTGTCGGCAGGGGCAGTAAGGGCAGTTTCTCTTTCGCTGGTGGCTGTCGCTCCGCCATGACTTCCACGCACGTCCTCCTGACTGCGGCAGCCGGGCGGCAGCGGCAGGTTAAGCGGTGAGGGGGGGGAGCTGTGATTGACACTCCATCAGACGCTCCTCTGGCTGTGATTGGTTGTTTTGACTCGTCCCGAATTATTCTTTCCAGATTGAAATACAGGCAGTAGGCGGGACCAATTGAAGCAGTTTTTTTCACAGGTTACATATCACATGTACTGCTGTCTGGGCATAGGGACAGTTTTAGCCAATATGACAAAAAAGTGATTTTTAAAAACTTACAGACTTCAGCTTTAATAAATCTCGTTTTTACTGATGCAGTGTGACGGTGTGGCGTTGAATCTGTTTCTCAAGGCTTGCAGTTGGAGGAATCTCACTGCTGAAGGATATTGTGTATTGTTTCAATCCCTCAATCCCTCCCGGCATCACAACCACTGTGGTTCTGGTGAAAAATGTGAAGTGGTTACCATGGAGGGGATTGTGTTTCATTGTTGTTGCAAGCAAAAAAGACAATTGTTAAAGGGGTGATAGAATGATTCTATAGGGTATCTGGTCCTTCAGGTCTCTAATAGGGTGATAGAATGATTCTATAGGGTATCTGGTCCTTCAGGTCTCTAATAGGGTGTGTAATAGAGACTGACACGGGAGTGGATTTTCACTCCTGTCTCGTCCCACTCCCACAGAAAAAAATTGTGTCCCGTCCCGATCCCGGGCCAGAGTAGAAATCCCATCCCGCTCCCATTCAGAATGACTCCCGCTCCTGCACCCCTCCCATTCTGGTTGTTTTTGAGCGCGGGTGAAAAACTCAGAGCGGAAGCACTGTTGGTTTTTGGGTCGTGTAGTTTCTTTTGACTCGCATTATAGTGTAGGCTTCAAGGAAAAAAACGACAAAATGGCGGCGCCAGTACTGGATTTTTTTTCTTTCTATTTTATTTTATTTTTTGGCATCGATCTTAGTTTTTTTTAGTTACTATCGGTTTGCTCCCGCTCCCGTCTGCTCCCGTTAATGTTTAATCCTGTACCGTCCCGATCACGTGATCGTTACTAATACTGACTCCCATCCCACGGGAATCCCGAAAAAATGTCAGTCTCTACTGTGTAACATTGGTTGGGCTGAAAATGTCCTATTAGCTGTTCTATGAGCCCTAATGCAGCCTGGTTAAAAGCCCTAGAATGAAACCACAGGTTTTTCTTCCTTTTATGGTTTGATCATGAATATTTAGATGAGCTGTGCTCTGATTGGTTGGTTTACAACGAGCCAAGCTGCTGAGCAAAGACGCATCATAGCAACAAGCACTCACTCACTGAAACATCATTGATATGGTAGGGGGACCAGACGTCCTCTTTTTCCTGGACATGTCCTACTTTTCATACCAAAAAAAAAAAATCCAGATAAGAATTTTAAAATCGTCCAGGATTTTGGTCGACTACAGTGCAGCATGTAGTGGAAACAGAGAGCCAGCGGGGGGCGGAGCGACCGAATCCAACCCGGTGACAGTAGTCTGGACACTGGCGGCCCTGTGAAGCATGGTAAGGCATGCGGGGGGGCAGCATACCATCACCGGGTCGGGTTCGGTCGCTCCGTCCCCCGCTGGCTCCCTGCCACCTGCATGTAAACCAGTATGTCCCTTTCTCCTTTATCCCGTCACTTGTACACATGACAACTTCAGCCGTTACCCAGTGAAATGATACGAAGGGAGAAAAGGAAAAGTGCCTGCTCTTGAAGTGCCATCTGTTCAGTGAAAGGAGGAGAATAACACTTTCTATTGGATCTAAATAAAGCAGGATTCATTCCAACCCAGGCAACATATAAACATGCGAAGACCAGCCGACTGCAGCAGCTCCGTTTCCTCCTCCTTTTGCCGATCTGATCAGCCCTCGCAGGTATTTTCCTGATTTTCTGCAGTCGCTTTTTCCTTGGAGAAAAATTTGCTCCTTCATTATAAAAACACAGATCTTCCTCATCAAAGGGACGCTCAGTCCCTTTCTCCCCGTCTCCTGCTCACCAAGCATTACATCCCTCTCTCCTCACCTTCCTTGTTCTAATATCACTTCTTAATCTCCTCTTACAACAGCTGGGCTCTGCATCCCCACACCTTTTGATTTACATCATTAAAGTCTCCCACTCACTTCTCTGGCTGCTTTTTTCTTTTTAGCTTGAAATGAACACTAACGATATTTGTTTCCTCGTCATTTATCCACAGAGAATATCAGCCTTTTAACCATGGATCTAGAAAGAGCCCTGGTTTAAAAAGCGAAAGGCTGCGGTTGCCATTAGTGCGGTTGCCCCTCTGCTGTAGCTTAGAGTAATTAGCAGGAAGGCCCAGCCTGCTTTGTTCCACATAATGAAGAGAGAAACATGATCTGATTTTTAAAATAGCATCTGAACTCTGAAACTTTTTCAAAAAATCACTGTTCTGCTGTGACTTAATGAACTCAGTGCAGCAACACTTTCCTCAATCCTCACGAGGAAACGTCGTCCTTCCAGTTTACTCAA